GAGAAGGCACCTCCGGATAGAGTGAAATGTAGATTCTAGTTCCACTGGTAGAAAAGTCTTGCACATCACTCTACATCACTTTTAATTGTTTTTTCCCAATGTGTGACAATACATCGGTAGCCTCTTCCATGTCATAAAAGCTAAAGTGATAGAGCTACTGGCTTGATCAATCCGTGTCCTGCATTCATCTTTGATTTTCAACTTCGTTTGAGGTGATTGAATGCAAATCTGGCCTTTACAATGATTCGCGGTAGCATTCCACTGTATCGAGTCAATGCTGGTCAACTTCCCAGACAAGTTTTGCGACTAGCCCGGTACCAGTTCACCGCTTTCTTGGAAGGATGGATGGCTTGGTAAGCCGTGAGGCGAGATCGAACCACTCACCTTATGTGCGACGCAAAGCTCCTCTAATCAGTGTGCCACATGCGCTTCGTATAAGAGTTTATGTAAGAAGTTCGTGTCGTTTCAATTTTTGATATAATTTTTGTAATGCTTTGTTCCAAGCCAAAGACAAAACTAATGATAAAGGTACTGAACTATGCAGACCACTTCCTAGTCGTCCTATCTGCGGCCGTATCATCGCCCTAAGGTACATTAATCTTGCGCGCTGCTTCGCTAGCATTTTCCCTTAAGCGCCCACTAGTAGCAAGCGAATTTGTTCCCAAGACAACTCCATCTCAAAGCAAGTGCAGGCAGGTTGTATACCAAATATCAAAACGGCACGAACTTACCACACAACAAATCAAGAAAAGGCGGCTCTGAGGAGGACAAAGTCACCAAAACGTTATATATCGTCTTTGAGAGCAGAAAAAACCAACCTCATGCGAGTTTTATCTGAAGAAAAGGGCACTTCTTCTAACAGTTCCCAAAACCGACTGTCTACTAACCTCGACATGTTTCAATATAATTCCCGATTTTCTTCTTTAAGCCAAACACGAGGTGTTACATGAATCTTTATTTGACAGTTAACGCTTCGCCGGTTCGCCTTCCTCAGAGCCTGGAAAGGTCAAATTGTCCGCAATCCAATCACTCAAACACCTCCATTATTTGTCACCAAACCTAGATTTCAGTCGCATCAAGCACAAATTCAACTCTCAATATACCGCCTTTTATATGTGTTACAATGAATGATTCATGTGGGGATTACCGGAAGGAGATCACATAGATTCGTAATGCATTACCCATAAAAAACAGTCTTATATACTGAATCATATCACGAGTGATGACGAGGCATTCCTCCTTGCGGTTCATTGTTGGATTGGTGGTGTTAATCTAAAGTGCTTCCAGAATATTTCGCGCTGATGTTTTTGTTCCTGCGCAAGGATGGTGATTTCGATCTCAAAATCAACTACGTCGTGTTTGTGTTCTCTATACGTCGCTAACGAGCGTAGGTACAGTCTACCTAATCTCTTGCAAAGCGTGCTGCGATAAATATTTTGGCGAAACGGGTAAGCCGCTCTATGCCCGCATAGAAGAACACCTAGCTGACAAACGTCTTAGCAGACAAAACACCCCTCTGGGGACGCACAGAAAACAGAAACATGACGGAGTTAATTTTAAGATCGAAGTCACCATCTTTGGGGGTGAACAAAAAACATCAGCGCGAAAAATTCTGGAAGCACTTTGAATTAACACGAACAATCCAATATAAACCGCAGGGAGGAATGCCTCGTTATCACATGTGATTTGAGTCGGTATATAAGACTGTTGTTTAGATGGGTAAGGTGCATTACGAGCTTATGTGATCTCCTTCCGGTGATCTTCACTTGAATCATTTGGTTGAACACATATAAAAAGAAGTGAGTATGTTGAGAGTTGATTTTGCGCTTGATGCGATTGAAATCAAGGTCTGATGATTTTTTCTAAAGGAGTAATGAAGTGTTTGACTGATTGGATTGCGGACAATTTGGCCTTTCCAGGCTCTGAAGAAGGCGAACTGCCGAAACGTCAGCTGTCAAATAAAGATTAATGTAACACCTCGTGTTTGGCCTAAAGAAGAAAATCGGAAAAGGGCAGTTTTTGCTCCATTTGCTTACTCATCTCTCCAACACTTAATCGATGCTTCACCGCCTTTGTCATCCTTCAACTCTCCTTCACCCAACTAAGTGTTAAAATAATCCTGATACTTATTAAAAGAAACTTTCTTGAGAAACGCAAAATCGAAATACTGCAGTTAATATTATCTGGGCATCCGCCATGACTTATCGTATTACTTCTAAACCAGCTAACTGCCAACCTATGATGTCTTTCTAGATATATACATAATATGTTCTTGATATTTGATTGACTGATCCAGCCAGAACGAGCATGAGTGCACCCCAGATTTTCATTTAACATCCAATAGCTGATTCAACATTCGTAACCGACTTTGGCTTCGTCACTTCACTGAAGTTGGGAAGAAGTAATTTTTTGATTTGGCAAAGTTCTATATTTGCTTTTGCTTTCATCATTTTAGTGAAGTTTAGAAAATGTCGTATCTAGTCGGTCCCACGAGTAAAAACAAGTCATTATCAGTAGTTATAAATAAGACGAAGGTTTCATCGGCTGGACGGCCATTCTTTCATCATTTTCTTCATTGGGTGAGGTAGTGCCTAACATTTCACTTAGTCATAGGTGGGATCTCCTATCTTCAGTGTCAATCTTGTCCAACCTAGGCTCCTATTTGATTTATCACGGTGAACTCTATATATCTCGTTGCAAGTTTGAAATTACCTATAGAGAATCTTTTTTTAGAACGAAGTTCAAAATCTCAAAGAAATGGAAGTTGTGCAAGAAGTTCAATGTGAAATGCCCAGCTACTCGCATAATGTATTTTTCCTGAGCAGAAGGCACCTAGTTGTTATTTTTGCTCTTCATAATGAGTTTCCGGCAAAAACAACTTAACACACACTCAACCATAGACTTCTAGGCAAATCACAAGATTAGCTGCTTCCCACCGTGAATTAACATGTCTCAGCACAAAACAAACTTTTTCAAATGAAACAGAAGCCATCAGAAAATTTATATCATTTTCCATAAGTGACGATTTTTTGATTTTTTGCACGGAATAATTTTGATTTCGGATTCGTTCTCAATTTTTGCATTGGGGTCGCTTTTCGCGTATGATTCTAACAGTACAAGAGGGATTCGTCCAATAGCGCATGAAGGTCTTGTGAAATGTATTTAGATATACCCAATAATGTGGAGTGCTGTGCAAAGACGTTTGCGTCAGCCGGGATTCGAACCCAGATCTCACTTTCCGGGAGCGTATGCTAACCGTTGCACCACCGACGCTCGTTTTGCACAGCACTCTTTTACGCTACAACGCGTTGTCTATCAACAGCCAACCGTCGACGGTCTGGCGGGGCAGCCGCTATCGGCATTGAACCCACTTGTGTTGACAGATATTGCGTATCAATAATCAATCGAAATTCATGTATTTGACCGTCTCTTGAGGTGATATGGTCTTATTATATACTCAGTAATGTGGAGTGCTGTATTATAAGACCGTATCACCGCAAGAGGAGGTCAAATAGATAAATTTTGATTGATTATTGAAACCCATAATCTGTCAACACAAGTGGGTTCAATGCCGATAGCGGCTGCCCACCAGACCGTCGACGGTTGGCTGTTGACAGACAACGCGTTGTAGCGTAAAAAGAATGCTGTGCAAAACGAGCTTTGGTGGTGCAACGGTTCGGCACACGCTCCCGGAAAGAGTGAGATCTGAGTTCGAATCCCGGCTGGCGCAAATGTCTTTGCACTGCACTCTACATTATTGGGTATACTATAGGCCATGTCACCGCAAGATGCGGTCAAATAAATGAATTTCCATTGTACTCATGTAATTACATAGCATTTTCTTGATACTGATTGACTGATCCAGCCAGAACGAACAGGAGTGCGCCACCAGATTTTCATCTAACGTCGATTAGCTGATTCAACACTCACAACTGACTTTGGCTTCGTTATCTCGCTGAAGTTGGGGAAAAGCCATTAATGCCCGCGGTTGTCATTTCTTTCCAAAATTTTTAAAGTTAAATTCTCCTCTAAGTTCTCTGAGGATTCTAACAGCAGGCTAATTTCATTTAAAACAATGCTTTGCAAAAAAATAAGTGTATATATATGTATATATATATATATGTATATTATGCATGCATATGTACATAATTCGGCAGTGCACAACTCCTTCAACAAGTTCTAACGTCTTCAATTTCTTCACTTCTCCTAATGGGGAGATAATCGTATATTCTCAAAAAAGGCCTCTTAGCAAATTCGTTGATTGCGTATGCGGTATTTTATCATATAATCATGTTATACGAGATGAAAAATATTTCCAGTCAAGGCAAGTGATCAAAATCCCAATTTGCGCAACTGATATGTAAGTTATTTCCAACAAACTGGGTTACATTCACGCTTTTGTAAACATAATGTTTGACTTATTGATGAACACCTTTACTGAGTATCTCTATCACGTCACATGACTACTAAGCAGTGTTTCTGAAAATCCAGCATCCTTGGCTTTTCTTCCATTATCTCCGGTTATAACAAATGCTCGGATATAATTTCACGCTGACATCACCAGCAATAAGTGGCTTGCTTTTTTTGTTCCGCTTTCTACTGTATGGAAGGCTATTTTTCGGTTTTTCTAATAGTCTTCAGTTAATGTATTCGTTTCTCATTATCTCTGAAGGCATGGTAAGATGTTTCGACGTTTCTAAAACTTTCTGCATTTTTTGTGCTCCAAAAAATATTGGCTTCCTTTCCTTGTCAGTTTCCATTATGGGCAATCGACAGGGTTCAAAAGCTTTCAGGCTAAGCTCAACCCAGTAGACTTGACCTTTTGTAGTAAGATTGTACAGGCTACTGGTGAAATATAGTGCAACCAGAAAAAAATTTTGAAATCAACCATTGTTGCGTGGTAACTGAAACTGGTCCATCGCATTGTCATTGTTCGTCATATACGCGAAGCCTAATATATCTGGAGATACCTAAGCGGATTCAGTGGTGAGCAAAAACACGGCCTCAGACGGGAATCGAACCCGCGTTTCATCCATACTTGGGACGCGTGCTACTATCACCACTACGCCACCGAGGCGCATTTGTGCCTTGAATCATACATCAACATCTCTGTGTTAGCTATCAGCCAGCAACCTTTCAACAGGTTTGGTCGGGTATGCGATTTTGCTTTATAAACCCAGTTGAACTGACAGCCATTGTAATAACTGATACTTAGATTTTCTAGTATTTACTGCATTTTTCGCAGTGTTATGATGTTTCAAACATACAAATAACTGAGAGGTTAGCAAAAACATGGCTTCAGCCAGGAATTGAACCCGCGTTTCATCCATACTGGGGACGGGAATTCTCGTAGACTTTCTTCCGTACTCTTAGAGTACGGAAGAAGATTTTTTGCTTCGTCCTGTGTGCAATCTTCATCTCGTCTCTTTTTAAACGTCATCTATTTTGATTGCTACAAGCTGTCTTGAATTCACCAAGCTCACTTCTTTAGCAATATTTGTATTTGCTTTAATTACAAAAGACTTCTTAATTGTTAGAGTGCTGGCAAAATATCATAAAACATTATTAAACAAAATAGCAGGTTAAGCAAAAATTTTCTTATCACAGGCGAAAAATTTGAATCTTATGTTTGTTTTACATAGTATCGGTCAGGTAAATTCATGAAAACATCTCAGGAAAAATTTCCATAAGAAACTCCCATAACAACGTTAGTAATAGTTCATGAGATCTCAGTTTACCTTCGTACATAAAATGATGGCGATGGACAAAACTTGAGCTTCCAGTTTTGATACGCTATGGCTGGAAGTGACAGCCTCCAATAAGAGATGCTGCAAAGGAGATCTGTGGTGACGAAGGTGTAAGAACTGTGAGCCATGCGACTGTTGCAAAGTGGTGCAAACGATTTGAAAGTGGTGATCTCAGTCTCGAAGATCAACCCCGTCCGGCTATCCATTTGATCAAGTCGAGGTGGCACGTCAGCAGTTTTTTGCTTCGAAGCTCAAGGAATGGCTAATTGGAGCAGATTTGGAAGCTTACAGATCCTTGGCAAAAGATCGCGGAGATTGGATGTCTTTATTTTGAAGAATAGTAATCTTATTTCCCATCGAATCTTCGTATAAACTTCAAATTTTCAGCGGATGTTGAAGAACCTTTACCATAATCTAATAAAACAAAAGTTCGACTTTCTGTAATCCTCGGCATAATGAAGATGAAGAGTGCACACAAAGCAGAGCAAAAAACCTTTTTCGTACTCTAGAAGTCTACGAAAATTCCCGTCCCCAATATGGATGAAATGCGGGTTCAATTCCAGCAGAAGCCCCGTTTTTGCTCACCACTCAATTCTCTCAATTGTGTTTGGAACAGCAAAACTCTGCGAAAAAAAAGCAGTAAAAATACTAGAAATCTCGAGTATTAGTTATTACAATGGCTGTCAGCTCAAATGGGTTTATAGAGCGAAATCGCATACCCGACCAAACCTGTTGAAAGGTTGGTGGATAATAGCTAACACAGAGATGTTGAAGAATGAGTGGTGGCACTCCCTATACACTCCCTGCACTTCGCCTGACATGGTGTTAACAACAATTACGTTCTATCAACAGAAAAACGCCTCCTCATTCCTGTCATAAGTAAAGTTCAAGGCGTGTGGCTCTGATAAAGCGAGCGATACCGCCAAATTATACGTAAGCCACTGGCGTACCAACCTCAAGCAAACTTCGAACATTCTCACAGACGATATTATATGCCTGTACGGAAGTTTAGAAATAGTTGATTGGGAGGAAATCCTGAGTATTGGCTGTATATTTTTGTTTTCTTGTGGTCTGCTGATGTAGTGATGTTAGACTTATGTACATCCGCACCATATTCATTAGTGAATTGGTATAAGTTTAACGCACTGAAATCAAAATTTTCCAAAGAAGGAATCGATTTTTATCCTCAGACGCTGATCAGGAAATATATAAGAGAACGGACCTAGCTTTATGCATGGCTCACCAAAGAGCTATATATGACATTACTTGCGTATGTAGGGATGTTTTAATAATATATTCACAATTTTTCCTATGTGAACTAACGACTTTCCGTTGATGCAATTTTTACATCATCCTCACAATAATCATCCACACTTGGAGATTATCTTACTCAAGGTGGTTTTTACAAAATGGATAAGAATAGTTTATCTTTTGAATATCGCGGATGAGTACCGTCTCGTGATATCGTGTAAGTAAAGCGCCTTAATGTTATTATTTAGAAAAAAATGTCAACTTTACTGAGTGTTCGTCGCTTGTGCGGTTTCTATGGAGACGTATTGCAAATATTATATGGACGGATACTCTTTTATACATCATTAGACAAAAATCTTTTAGAGCCTCTATTCGTTGACAATGGGCCAAAACAATCAGCTCAAATATGCTGCTACTTCACTGTACTGCTCCAATATAGCTCTCAAAACCATTGTTGACGAAAATACTTTTGATATAGCATTAAATAAGAGATTGTAATCAGTTGATATTGAAACTTACTCTACTAACAGACACCTTCTCAATAAAAATATAAATCTGCATTTCACGGCTTAATTGCCAAAGCCATTCAAAACAATGCTCAATATGTCTCGAAAACAAGGCATTTAATTCAGAAAATATGATCACGGTTTTCATATTTATAACTAATTATGGAGTACAGTTTCTTTTTATTATTCCGAAATGAAATCCTAGTGTTCTGAAGTCTAGAAAACCTATTTTTTGCTTCTCTCTCGAAAATTATATCCTCTAACATCAAAGCAATTAGAGAGGAGGAATTCTGTCCTGTAGCACACAATGTTGCTACCGATGTGCTTGTTCGACGTTTCGCAATCAATTTTCTGTTGAGTTCCAGAAAACTCTAAAATCCAACAGTATTATGTGAAAATATGTGTAATGTTAAGATGGCAGAGCAATTTTTTTCCAAGCCTGTATATTCACAAGTTCTCATTCATGTTAAACATGAAAAACCTCTCTAGTTGTCGGTGAACCAGTGTTCGTCATTATATACTAATTTACTTTTCACTTGCAACTGTGTTTGATTAGACAGAAGCCATGGTGACCTACGTGTGGCATTTTTATTATCGCCTCTTGGGAGCGCATGTTCATTAAGCTGCCGATGTGTATCAATAATCCATCGGTTTCTTTCCGGTTAATAGAGAGGTGGATCCTACTCCGGTTTTCAATAATTTCTAGAAATCCTTCTGACAAGCTTCTTCAAGTATTTCATTATATTTAGAAAGCCGTTATTAGTAATCAAGACAGCAATAAATGTTTTTTCATTTGTATAATAACAACTCAGCTATGTACTCGATGCCACATAGAAAAACTCAGCATCCCGACCTCAAAATTTATTTTCAACGCCAGCAAAAGACGTTAATTTTTTTGCCACTCGTGCCGTGTTCGAGAACTAGCAAACCCCTGGCGAACACTGATTTACATAGAATCGGTATTTATGATCTTTAAAAACCATTATGTATGTGTCTCTTCTTTTGAGCGATTTCTTCATTTTCTGATCTGAAAAATAGAACGACGATCTTAGAAGAATAGCTCACCGCGTCTACACTTTTTTTCTGATTGCTAAATAAATACCAATTTTAATGCGATGCTTTGAGTCTTCGCGTTAGGTGTTGAACAAAATTAGGAAGGCATTTCAGCAATGGATGCCAGCATCTTTGGATGTATAATCGTACATTTATTTATCCAAGAGACGAAAATTTATTCACTTAACTCACGTATATACCATGCACTCGACTTCATGAAGTATCGTAGAGGTGATTGAATACACATTTGGTCAGAATAGTGAATCACACAACCCTAGCGATGTGTTTGTATCATCACAGATGAATCTCGTGCCGCTTTTTTCAAGCGAAAAGGATGGTTGAGCCAGGAACGAACCAACAACCACGTAATCCCAGTGCACCCTTACCCACTGCACGACGTGAATCGATATAGGCTAGCAAGGGTTGATGTTTCGTTAAATAATCCAATCACTTGTAGACAATTTATGAGAGTGCTCTTGCTGATCGACTTGACGTCAAAATGTGGCTACCGTGGTCATTTACATGAACTTGTACCAGCACGGTAATAAAGAGAGGACACGTCGCCATGATACGATATAATTGAAGGAAAACATTTTCCGATTCAAATTAACTCATTTGAAGGGAAAACTTGCAATCTTCGTTCGTCATTGCCGCACTTTTGAACCTCTCAAAGGCTTTCATGCGAGAGACTCAGTTGCTTTTGTTTTTGCTGGACGTTATTAGCAAATAGTCTTTCAGACTCTGAAAAACTCTTTCAGACTCTTTTCTTACTCTGAAGAGCTTTGTGGAGCGATACCACCGCTAACCAACTAAAAGCCTTCATCATATGTTTAATTAATGTTTAGTTCATTGATAGTAACCCTTCTACACAGAACAAGATTTTTGTATGTGCTCTTTTCTTCTTTTTTGTTTCGATTCAGCAATGAGATGGGATGTTTTTCAGTCGTAAACGTTTTTCTTGTATTATTATTGATAATGTACCGTAGAATGTTGCCAACATAGGCGCAGACTACTAAATAATCCGCTCACATTTCATCAACAATGTAGTTTGCGCTATGAGATCCCATGTGTTTCCATAGCATTGTATACTTGACTGAAACGGTCGATTTTCATGCACGATTTCATATGTCACAGCAAGTTTTCAGCAGCTTCGTTGTCATCTCAGGTCGCACTATTGTAACGTGCTAGTACATAGGAAGTCGTATTATTCAAAACCGCTTACCCTAGCAGAAACGTACTGATCTGAAATATAATAAAGCCTAGCTAAGTTCAAATGTACATAACAATCCATCCTTCCTTTTCTAGCTTTGGCTTTCGGTAATCTGATGGTACCTGTTTCACAAATATTTATCTAAGCATGCTCAAAAATCAATGTTGAGTAACAAGCTGATTCGTAGTTCAGTCTGTGAAAACTTTTTTGTAAGCGGAGAAAAACTTGTGCATGAGGTACTTTCAATTCGCTCTAACAAACGAGCCGAAAAATAGCAGTAAGAGGAATTGTTTCGCTTTCGCAATGTGTGATTAGAGTGGTATAAGCGCTTAGCGTTAATCAATTCGTGAGTGATGTTCCATGCGTGGGGATCCGTTCAACATAGAACAGGAGTTTTAATGCATATTTGGCACACGCAATGGCACATCGTGGCCCAATGATGTATCAACCTAGCGTTTTCATCTACCCTGCTAGACGAGTTCGGTGCCAACATGTCGACAAGGAAGAATTGGATTGGATGACAATGGTATAGGACCAAATCGAAGACCCACGTGTGCATCGCATGGTATGTACAGTCACCGTGAGGTTTCACAAAGGTCTTATGTGGTGTTTTATAAAGCGTCACTGAAATATTAGAACTCAGTGTTGCGCTCTAGAAAAATACGTTTAACATACGTTACTCGAATATCATCGTCATAGTAGTTGTTCAAAGATGACAGAGATCCTCCTGTCTACATTAAACTCAGTCAAATTCCTCGCCTTAGAACTGATTCAATCAAATGTTTCGAATCAGATGTTTTTTAGAAGAGAAGATTTGGTTTAATGCATCGCTGACGAGCTAGGCGATTTCCATTGTGATGTGAATGACTGGCACATTTTTTTCTGATGAATGTTGTTTCACTTGTTATTCTTAGCTTGATGGCTAATCTCTTTGATTGCACATTCATGAATCTGACGAATGAAAGAAACTAAATGTCACAGAAGGAACAAGCAATTTCAAGTTATAGAAACAAATGTAACCCTTTAGTGTTGTCATGTCAATCAATCTGTTGCCATTAGAGCTTCCTTTACTTTACTTTACTTTGAATAGCAAGTAATTCAAGGAGCACGAAGAGTATTGAGATTTTTTACATAATTTTTCTTTTCATTCTTGTTGATGCCGTTTTTGTTAAGAAGATACCCACTGGTAGCACTCTTGGTTTCTTTCGTGATTATACGGACGTATTATTTAGAGCTAGTCGGCTTCACTCATTTCACAATTGTAATTGTATTGTGATAATTATAATTATTATCATAATATATAGTTCTGTTATAATAATTATATTATAATCAATCGGTAATCATTTATTTGGACGTCTCTTGCGGTGGTATGATCTTATAAAATACCCAATAATGTAGAGTGTTGTGCACAAACTGCCTCAACCGGGAATGGATCCCACATCTCACTCTATCCGGGAGCGCGTGTTGAAGTCGGTAGTGCAACGATTCAGTACGCTCTTCTGGAAAGAGTGAGATGTGGGTTCGAATCCCGACTGACGCAAATGTTCTTGCAGAGCACTCTATATTATTGGGTTAAATTTATTATAATTGTAATCACTTGTTGCAAACGATTACAATCCTCCCAATGTCGTGTACGTAGCTGGGTTATTGGAATAGATTTGTCGGATAGAATTTCAGGATGCAATGAAAATGCACAAAAGATACTTATGCGCACATACTTTAGTACTATACACATATACGGAAGGAATTACATTACTGAAATTGTGTTCCATAATATATGTGGTTCCTTTTCCTCAACACGATGCCCATCACCCGTGTATGTTTGCTGTGATATTTCAGGCAGAGATCGTCTGTATGTGCGAAATGATAAAAAAATGAAGAAGCCCAGATGTCGTATTCGATGGTTCGATGGTTTTGAAGATCGCTTTGGTTTCTGTGTGACGATTAAGTTTTCATGCTGATGAATTTTACAAAATCTATTGCACCTATGTCGCAGTCAAGCTTCAAATAACAGCTATAGTAAATTGCTATGCGAACGATGGCTAGACTATAACAAAGTCTTTTTGACTGATTTCTCATTCTATTTATCTCATAATTTTTATTTTAACGGCATCATACGATGTGAAGTATAACTATAAGTGGCAGCTTAATTAGGCTGTGTTCGATTCGTGCTGCCTAGATCAATCTCCTTGTGGGGTAATTGCTGACAACCCCCGAATAGGTTGAAACGTTACTGAGAGAAAGTCTGAGCACTCTTTCGGTTAAGGCGATAGTGTAGTGGAAAACTTAGTCAGCTTCGCAAAGAGTAATGGTGGCTTCGAAGCCATTTCTGGTCTAAAGTTCTGTTCGTACATCATCACTTTTGTGGTAAATTTTGTGAATAGTCTTGGTTAGAAAATGAGCATCAAGAAATACAGTAATGTATTCCATATTGAGAACTGGGTGGTGATGAAATTGATATAGCTGTATGATATCAAATTTCAATCGTCTTGTCACGTCATTTACAAGTATGACATTCAACCAACGCAAAATTCAACGGCAGGATTGATTTTCATCTTTTGCCGTTTGTTGATAGTAGGACAATGGAAAATTAGATGTTAGTGATATTTGAAGCAGGTTCCCAGTTGCTGTAGTGATTTGTAGCTTTTCTCACTGCGTATTTCATTTCGGCATTTTCTCGTGCTGATAACGCAACTTGAAAGCGTATCATTACTCTATTTTTTTCTACATATTATCTAAATTTCTATTGTTCCGCAGGAGAAAAATATTCAGCTTTCATATCTTTTCTTGTGAGCAGTTGGTTTTATAAACAGAAATCATGTCGATATAATTTTGTGCACTAAGTTAATTATCGAACGTCTCTCAAATTGATTGTGCAAAGCATTTCTACGGATTTCATCAATGTCAAATGATGTGTTATCTCACTTTCATTAGAGAGTATGAAGAAATTGCTTTATCAAACTTGATATTTCTATGTCATCCTAGGAGTGACCGTTTAGCACTTCAGAGTAAAAAGGAAAGAATCTTGCGCAACCGCAAAACTTCTGATCAGTTGTCTACATCATTCGAGATAAAGAAGGTGCAGAATGAGTGAACCAAATAGCATGTCTACAACTACATCAATTTTGACTGCATATTGTAATTTTTGAAATAAGCGTGAAAAGACCGAATTTGTACTTGTCACATTGAAATCAGATAATCATTGAAAGTTGATAATACGGAGTATTCACAGTTTTTTTTTTTTTGCAACAAATGATTATAAAACAATATAATCGGACGATGTAATTCGAGCCTTTCATAAGGTCTGTTATGAGCATTTATACAGCGCAAGACGCGTGTTCCCGCCTACCATACTCGTCAGTTGAACAAAACCTTCGTTCAGTCAGCTCCTTGGAAATCCACCCTATGAAGAGGAATCGGCGACGAACTTTTTACGCTCGAAGTACGGTGTAACAATTACCGTGACGTTCTTTCAGAGTGATTGATTGTTGATTGCATGGTGTATTCCAGTTATATGGGTATATGTAACACATATTTCAATCGACTATATTGAGACCGCAGTACATGTCTAATCACTGTATGAGTTCTTATAATAGACCTTATGAAAACTCAGAATACATTGTCAGTGTTGTTCTTGAGCGAGGTTTCAAAATGGTCGATTGTAATGACAATAAAACACTTCGAAGTCTCCTTTCGCAAAGGTACAACTTACACTCACCGTCTTTTTCTCTCCATCTTTCCCTCTCTCTTTCTCCCTTCCTCTGTATTCTCTCCCTTCAACTATTGATACAGCTTCCTTCTGATACCGTAGTCCGTACTAGTACGGCAATAGACGTGACGAGAATATCGACATAAGCAGATTCAGTATATAACCAATGATTGTTAGCAATCGGATAAGGATATAAGATGTTTTGCTATTAAGGTCTAAGTGCTATACAGTCGCCTGTTTCATTCTAACGGGACTCATCAGTACCATCGTCGATTCTTTCATAGAGGAGTATAGCCTCAAGGCATCGGCTGAGCCAAGAACGTTTCTATCGATAGGTCAAGGTAGGATGAAACAGGTGCGTGCATAACACTTAGACCTTTATGACTCAGAACATCTTATAACTTTATCAATTATTTTAGTCTAAATCATATTCAATAAACTCAGTGCTAAACCAGATTTCTAGACATCGAACTACTCCGCGGATTTACATCGATAACAAATATTCATACAACAATATAAGCATACTGATGTGTCCGTTGAAAGAGTTATGGTGACTTGCGCCAACTAACTGACAACAAAATGTCGAAAAAACATATCTTGATAAGCTGACGCGAGGTTAATAAAGCAGTTGTAGTAGTGATCCGGCTGACGTTCCGGCGACCTACCTTGTTTATAGCCTGGACGTAGGTATTGTTAATCAATCTTAATGATTCGGAGGATCTTATCAATATAAAGCCTAGGTCGTCAAAAATCAAACGAAGAAAGGGCGCGAGGTCTTGTGTAATGGTGACGCATTCGACCTTCCGGTTCATTTCGGGGTTTTTGGCCTTTTTTCAAAATGAAAATGTGGCGCAATGGTTAGAGGTGCTCACGCTGGGTCAATGGCTCAATCTCGCGCTCTTGGCTCACCAAGCCATCCATCTCTGCGGGGTTGGTAAATTGGTACCAGACTGGTCCTCAGACTCGTCTGGGAGGATAAGCAGCACAGACTCGATACAGCAGGATGCCACCGCGAGTCATTGTAAAGACCAGGTATCCATTCAATCACCTCAAACGAAGTTAAAAATTAAACGCGAATGCATGGTGCATCCCTCAGGAATTGGTCAACGCCGAGTGCTTTATCCTTTATCCTTTTTAACCAAAATGCCTCAAGAGTTTTTCGCGTGAATGTTTTTGATTCTCGCGCTGGGATCGCGATACTCACATCAATTCCATTCTTATGTGTTTTTGTGATCTATGTAAACCTAATAGTTTGCTTTTATCAGTTTTAGACTTACTATCCAGATGTTCTTTTATGATGAAAAGTGGTCTACCTGTTTAGCCTATATATTCTTCCCCGCATGCCTTACATGTAGTCGAATAGATTGTTCCCGATTTCATACAATGCCGCTCCTTTCCATTAGGGCAGATTATACAGTTTTTGGTGTTGCACAGTCGGTTGTAAAGTCTATTGCGGATCAGCTGATCGCGTAGGGTGAGAGATGAAATTTCAATATTTACCACGAAATTTCCAAAAGCGCATCTTTATAGGCACCTTTTAACCGCGCTACTAATTTCGTTTGATATAAGTGGCAATTTGAAGTAGACTCTATTCAGGTGTGGAGTACTGTTCTTTTGGGGCCTAATTCTACTTTTGGAATTTTCCCTAGAGGTTGATGTTTTTTAGCCATTGAAAATAGCTTTTTCTCGTGTCAGGTTTAGCGAATCGTTTCTTTCCTCTTTTCCTGTGCACAAAATTTTAGCCGTTCAAAACATGTTATAATAAACAATTTTTTTATGTGTGAAAGGTGAGAAGAAAGGTGATTGAACAAGATAATTTTATTGCTTGGTTTTTGGTACCATTTCGTACTAAAGCCACTATCTAAAAGCTTTGCTTGGATGTTCAAGAATGGAAGCCAGCTCCTGTTTGGATTCTGTCGCGTGAATTTTTTATGCTCTGACTCTCCGTTCAAGACTTCAAAACATTTGTCCATTTACTCTTGTATGGAACAGATAATGAAACAGTCGTCTATGTACTCACAGTAAAGTAATGAGCGATAAACAAGAATAGGAGCTTCCACCTTATACATAAAAGCGATGGCAAGATTAGGTGCCAATCGTTGAACCATGGCCAGCCCTCTGCGCTGTGTGAAGTATTTTTCGACCACCAAAAGACTGAACAGCTGAGACATTGTTTTATAAGGATTATTAGATGTTGATAACTCCAAAAATTCGAAATGAACCGAAAGGACGAATGCGTCATCATAAAACGAGACCTCGCGCCCTTTCTTTGTTTGATTTTTCAACGACCTAGGTGGTGTTATGGATAAGATCCTTTAAATCACCCAGATAGACCAACAATACATACGTCCAGGCTGTGAAGAAGGCGGATCGCCAAAACGTCGGCCGAATTACTATTACAATTGCTTTATCAATTTCGCGTCAGCTAGTCAAGGTAAGTTTTCTCAATTCTCATATATAATTAATAATGCCGAGGTTTATAAAAAGTTCAATTCTTGAAACACAATGTTGTCAGAGGCTTTCACTGTGAGTCAGCGTACACAATAATAAAACATGGCAAATATTCTATGAGATGCGCTTGTTTTGCAGATGTAAATACTTTAAATATTTTAAAGTGAGCTAAGTGCTTTTTTAGAATTGCCTATGGACTCATATACCTAGAAACTAAAGTGAGCTACCCACTCAACCTGCGGCCACCATTACCTCTTAGATGAATGGATTTAGCTGTAGTGCACATTTTACGTGGTAAAGTAGAATGAGTCGAATGATGATCCAATTGCGACTTGAAGATCTCCTTGTCTCCTCCTTACGTTGAACGATAGCTAGGCACG